GTGTGAAAAGTGTTTATATTATACCTGGGTTTGGACTTTTTCCTATCATTGGCTGTCCTGTCATATGGATATTATCATTTTAGTTCAGGATAAGACCTTCACAATCTGTATACATAGAACATTTGTCATAATACTGCATTGATTTTCTTTTTACTGGTAGACTTCAGTGTTTACAGCATCCAACAATTTGTGTGAAATACAACAGTTAGGTTTTATTTAACGTAGGAATGTTAATATTAATGCTTATATGATGGTTGTGATTGCTGTTCTATTTACTGTACCAAAAAAAATGTAGCTGCTCCCCAAAAGGTGGCTGTGCTATTAACTGAACAGACAAACAAATCCTCAAAGAAATGGTTGCTCAAAAAAAATCTAGTTAAGGATCATTCACCCTCCCAGGAAGACAGCTGTTCTATCAACTGAACAACACCTTCCCAGAAAGGTACTTGTTCTTTTAACTGAGCAAATGCCCTTTCATGAAGAAGGCTGTTCTATTTACTGAACAAACATCGTTCATGAAAGGTGATCGAGCCAATGATCTTCCAAGAAAAGTACATTCACTAAGCAAACATCCTTCCAGAAAAAGTGGCTGTTCTATTTACTGAGCAAACATCCTTCCAGAAAAAGTGGATGTTCTATTTACTGAACAAACATCCTCCAAGAAAGATGGATAGTTGTATTCAGAGAACATAAACAATGATTAATGAGTTGAAACAAAATTATCTCCTTAGTATTAATAAATAGGTTCATCATTATTGTGACAATTTTATTGGACCATCAACACATAAAAGGTCATTAGGGCCACATGAATGAAATGAAATTTTAAAAATCCAAACATTTCAGAAATGTAAAAAGAACCATTGAACAGATTGCCAGATTGTGGTAAAGAGAGTGTTGGAAATTGATATACTATCCATGAGGATGCTAACATAATGAAGGAGTATCAAATCTATCACTCCTCCCTAAACACAATACACCAATCCTTCATTAGTTCTTCTCTTAACACAATACACCAATCCTTCATTAGTTCTTCTCTTAACACAATACACCAATCCTTCATTAGTTCTTCTCTTAACACAATACACCAATCCTTCATTAGTTCTTCTCTTAACACAATACACCAATCCTTCATTAGTTCTTCTCTTAACACAATACACCAATCCTTCATTAGTTTCTCCCTAAACACAATACACCAATCCTTCATTAGTTCTTCTCTTAACACAATACACCAATCCTTCATTAGTTCTTCTCTTAACACAATACACCAATCCTTCATTAGTTCTTCTCTTAACACAATACACCAATCCTTCATTAGTTCTTCTCTTAACATAATACACCAATCCTTCATTAGTTCTTCTCTTAACACAATACAACAATCCTTCATTAGTTCTTCTCTTAACATAATACACCAATCCTTCATTAGTTCTTCTCTTAACATAATACACCAATCCTTCATTAGTTCTTCTCTTAACACAATACACCAATCCTTCATTAGTTCTTCTCTTAACACAATACACCAATCCTTCATTAGTTCTTCTCTTAACACAATACACCAATCCTTCATTAGTTTCTCCCTAAACACAATACACCAATCCTTCATTAGTTTCTCCCTAAACACAATACACCAATCCTTCATTAGTTCTTCTCTTAACATAATACACCAATCCTTCATTAGTTCTTCTCTTAACACAATACACCAATCCTTCATTAGTTCTTCTCTTAACACAATACACCAATCCTTCATTAGTTCTTCTCTTAACACAATACACCAATCCTTCATTAGTTCTTCTCTTAACACAATACACCAATCCTTCATTAGTTCTTCTCTTAACACAATACACCAATCCTTCATTAGTTCTTCTCTTAACACAATACACCAATCCTTCATTAGTTCTTCTCTTAACACAATACACCAATCCTTCATTAGTTTCTCTCTTAAACACAATATAACAATCTTTCAATAGTTAATTAACATTCCTGTATCAAACATCTACTGATCTCTATTTTTCATTAAACTCAGCACAGCACTTTCTGTAGATAATCTAAAAATGTCTTAAATAAGTTATGGGACTCGCAAAACAAAAAATCACATAAATATTATTAAAATATCAGAAGTTTTCAAGTCCACTTATAAGTATGTAATGACCCTATAGAGATGGTGTTTTCAGCAGACAGAAGGAAAGAAAAGAGATATACATGCAATAAATATGATTCATTATTTCAAAGACAATAGGAGAGATCATGGGTCCTATCACATGCCTCCATTTGCTGCATAAGAGATCAGATTTCATGAAGCAACTATGATCTTGCACTGTGCTAGACTTTCCTGAAGGAAAGCTAAAATATTGCAGAAAGTCTTAACTTCAGCATTCTAGGAAGGCTTAGAATCAAAATGGCCATGGTACACTAAAATATCTACAATATTTCAACAAAAGGAAGCAAGAATGCACAAGTAGTAATTCATCACAATTTTCATCATCTCTTTGGTATCAATTATTAAACACTGATAGAGCAATTATATTATAGAAGAGGAATCAAACATAAAGGTCAAAGTTGATCATGCACAACAGAGTTCAAGGTCAATCATATTTATTAAAGGTCAAGGTCACTCTTGTTTCATAAAAGTTTAAGGTCAAAAGTAATCTGAGGAAGGTATGCATATCTATTATATATTCATAGTTAGACGTTATAATTTGTGTTATTATCAGTTTTTATTTGATGGGAAGGAAAAGATAACACAGAAGATATTTAAACACATCTTAATAGTTAAAATATTCAAGCAAGTTCTTCATGAGACAATAGTCAAAATGTTTCAGCACTTCTTACATAATATTAATTCCAAATAATTAAGTAAGGAGGAGACATAAATGAAAATATTTTAGCACTTTTCACAAAATATTAGACTTAGTCCAAATTAAACACTTTTACATAATGTTTGTCCCAATATTCAAGCACTCTTTCAACAGATCAAAATCCAAATGCATGTATAAATATGATAAATTCCTCAGGCTCGGAGACCTGTATAGACTAGAAAATTGAATTCAGTATTCTTTTCTATTTATAACCTATATTCTACTTCATTATATACCAATCATATATGATCTTTTAAACAAGTCTGTCTTAACTAAGGAATAACAATTCTCCTCTTTATTGTACAGCAGCAAAAGCAAAAAAAAGTCTGATATACACATCCATGTTCAGTTAAAATCTGGCATTTAAATGTATACCATGTTACACTTTTCAACGGTACATATTTGACTATATTTTCTCTTTAAAAAATGGGCCTTTGTAGCTAAAATAAGGATTTACAAATATATCATTCAGTGATCAATATATCTAATCAAATAATACAGATATGAAATAGCTGGTCATTTTCCCCAGGAGTAGAATATTTTCATAAATTCACAATACATTGATGTGATCACAAAACTCAATCTGTGAAGTAAGTGTATTAGTTGTCATTTTACATCCAGATAGCAAAATTTTCATTCTTTAAAATAAAATTCTATTCTTTAAAAAAAAAAGTGAAAAGTTTCATCTGTAATACCTACCAGCTATAAGGTATTGTGTATTAATACATTATGGATCGTTTTTCATGGTAACAACTTAAAATAAAATAAATTTATCCTACATTTACAGCCCATTTAATTTCCCTCTATCAGTGACCATTAAAGAGTTCGAAATCAAGTACCCGGCAAGTATTTCTACAGCTTGTAAAATTCTCTGAAAATGTATACCAAAGACATTCTGTGCTGTTTATTGGGAAATGAGTCATGGCATGAAATTTAATCCTCGAGCAGTGCCCACAACCTGGACAACCTGAAAATGTTTGTCCTGCAGAATAAAAAAACTATATTGTACACTCAGTATGTGAACATATCTTTAAAAAAGTCCATGCTTAATTAGATAAGGATATATCGACAGAAAAACTTGTGAAAAACCTAGCCTCAGTATCCAAATCATCACCATGTGATCTATCGACCACAATTCAAAATCAATGTCAATCTATATTTAACATTTTTTCTGATCAAGAAAGGAAAATATTCTAAAAATGTCCATTGGTGAAAAGAAAAAGAAACATTTTATGAGAATAAGCAAAAAAAAAATCATCGTTGAATAAATTTTGTAAAAAATAATATTTAATTTTGTTATTATTGTTCATCTTACAGAGTATCAAGGGTGCTTTATGAAAACCATGCTCAAAGTGTTGGGAAAAAATGGTTAAGTTTAGAGGTCTTCTAGTACAGGTAATTTTGAAATACAGATGGCAAATTCATTAGTTTGATCCAATATACTTGGTATAGAAGGACTGCTTTCAAGTCAAGCTTCACAGAGCAAGTTTCAGATTCAAATGTCATGGACAAGCTCAAAAATGTGTTTTATCGATTAAATATCAAATATAAAATATCAATCATCTCATACATATACTTACATTAATAGTTACAAATTTTAAATCAACAAAAATCAAATTTGGGCTCGTTAGTTTTAGATACTGTAAAATCAAATATTTTGTGGGGCTCAAATTTTGGTGTTTTTCAAAAATAAAGATTTTCAATGGCACTTTATTTGGTGGCTGTAACTTTCAACTGTTTCTTTGTGACATATAAATTCACTGAATTAGAGAAGCCACATGCAACAAAAATAACTACCCCACCAAAATAACTGATTTCACAGTAGATAAGAAGACCACAAAAATTAATAACAAAGAAAAACAATAACTTATAATTATAGGCTTTTAACAATTTAAATCAACAAAAACAAGTAGATACAAAATCGTAGAACAATACCGTCATATATACAATGTACAATGTTCTATTTTCTGGATCAACCAACATTCAATAATAATAGAAAACACATTTAATACAACAATAAAAGTTGATTTGGCTGATCTGTATACATATGACAAAACTGTAAATATTAACCAATGAAACCTTGAACCCCCCCTCCCCCCCCTTCAAAAAAAAAAAAAAAGTTTATTGAAATACAAATACTTCCCTACCAATACTTGATATTTGGTAACATTGGCATCTGATGTCAAACGTTTATTTTTCAACAAAAATATTCAGTTTATCAGATTCATTCTCATTAAATAAGTTTTATCTAAATAATTACGCGAATCTTGGTCAAAATTTCAAGTGAAACAGCATTAAAACGGCTTGTCTGAATTCCCAACACGCTTTTTCTTTGATGTGTTCTTCCCTTCTTCTTCCCGCATACAAAATGCCGCAAGATTTCTCTTCAAGGTCTGTTGTGCGTAATACGCTGTAGGTGATTGCCGATATGCAGCAGCAGACTCTGAGAAATTTGTGCCAAATTCTTCCATACATGCCGCAGCAGCAGCATATGGCATGAGACTCGAGTGTGAGTATGGCTTCTGTGTGATCATTCCCCCTTGATCAGATTGGTTGAACTGTCTCATGTATTCTTCAGGTGTAGTGTTAGATCCCTGAAAAGAAGCAATTATATGAAAAAATAAGCAATTTGTAGTAAAGCAATGTTATAATATATCATTTAATATCCCAAGACATATATTATTTACTGAAGTACAAATTATCTTTATCTTACCTCGATATTTGCTATTGCAGAAAAAATATCTTCAAACTGAGAGGAAAGTGGACTATTTGAAGAATCAGAGTGTTGCACAATTTCTCTAAATCTCCTTGATTCTTTTTTCAGCTCTTCTGAATGTGCCGGTGGGCCATGCCATTTTATGACCTCAGCAAATTCTCGTATGGCCACTGTGAGTTTATGTGTTGCTTTCCTCTTTTGTCGAATGACTTGAAGTTTTGAAATATCGCCAGTCTGATGTTGCTGTACCTGGATAAATAAATTCTGTTATTTCTTAACAAAAAAAATATGTTACAATACACAACATGTATTGAAAACATTGTCATATATGTCCAAGACTGTAACATTTATTTGTGACTGACACAAAATTGATCATGATCAACACTTTTTTGCTGATGATTGACTCATATTTGCCTGAGATTGACTCATATTTGCCTGAGATTGACACATATTTGCCTGTGATTTATATGTATTTGCCCGAGATTGACACATATTTGCCTGTGATGACCTATATCTGCCTGTAATTTACAAACATTTGCCTGTGATTGACATATGTTGTCCTGTGATTGACTCATAGGTGCCTGTGATTGACATATATCTGCCTGTGATTGACTCATATTTGCCCGTGATTTACACACATTAGTCTATAATTGACTCATATTTGCCTGTAAAATACATATATTTACCTGTGACGACAAATATTAACCTGTTTTCAATTGAAGCATATTTGCTGGTGACTGACAAATATCTATTTGTGACTGACACTTATTTGAGTCATAAATTTGCTGGTGACTGACATAAATTTGCTGGTGACTGACATATATTTGCTGGTGACTGACATATATTTGCTGGTGACTGACATATATTTGCTGGTGAATGACATATATTTGCTGGTGACTGAAATATATTTGCTGGTGAATGACATATATTTGCTGGTGACTGACATATATTTGCTGGTGACTGACATAAATTTGCTGGTGACTCACATATATGTGCTGGTGACTGACACAAATTTTCTGTGATTGAAACATATTTTCCTGTGATTGACAGATATTTGCATGTGATGATACACATTTGCTGGTGGTTGTGACATATAAGCATGAGGTTGAGAAATATATAAGGTGATTGAGAAATACTGACCTGTTATTGAGAAATCCTTATACACTTGACACAATTTAGATTTTTGACCTGTAACCTTCATATACTTGCCTGTAATTGAGAAATCCTTTTATATGTGACAAAATCTAGAACTTTTTACTTGTAATCTTCACATATTTACCTGTAACTGATATTCACGATAAGCACTTATTTCTTTCTCTATGTCACTGGGTATTTGTTTTCCTTTACAAAGACGTAACAAAGTATGCATTCGCTTTTCCAGCGTTTCAAATGTATCTTTTGGCTTATTGTTAGGGTCCTTCCATGGTAACAGTGTTGGCCAGGACTGAGGCTCAAATTTTTTAGTCCATATTGATGAAGAGCTAAATGGATCTTGATTTACCAAAATGCGTGACAACTTCGGCACAATATCCCGGAATGTATTGGTGAGAATTGTTCGCGTCTGTTCCTCTCCACTCTCAGAATCTGTATTCAGTTTACAGCATGTGCATTTCTGTTTTGTGGAATTGCGTTTTTGTCGTCGGCCACTACACTTTGGAGCAGGCATATGCCATGTTGGTTGGGGAGGTGGGTGTTTGTTACTCTGTGGCTGAGGCTCATGGTCAAATGCCTGCAATTAGAAACACTTGTGCAATCAATGTGTATACAGAAATTTGATTAATGCATATCAAACTACTGAAATGATTAGACTTTGTAGTGATACAAAAAATATACGACACAAACTGAAACATGAACATGATGAGAATGACATGAATAGAAAACTTGAGCAAATGACTAAAGGAGATTAAAATTCTGAATCTGCTTCTACTAGCAATAGGTCCTAATTACAGTTGTCCAAATCAACTGAATAGGTCTTATCATGAGTGTGGCAGAGTTTTTTCCCTTTCCTGAATCTCATGAATTGGAGATTGGTTTGGTCTTATTGTTGCTTAGTGTCTTATTATCAGCCAAGCTAATTTAAGGATGTCCAAGGTTTGGAGGAAGGTTGCAGTTTTTGGAGAAAAACCACTGACCTGCAGCAAGTGTCCAATGTAGGTCTTGAACCCCCAACCCAGAGACGGAGGGCCATCGCAACTGGAGATGACTCTCATCAATATACTATGATATTTAAGGGGCTAATGATATAGTGTAGCTATGAAATATGTGTCTGAAAAGTTTCATACTGCCATCTACACCATAGGTTCCATCTACCCAATCTCAAAACCAAACACATCAATCTGTAGACTAGTGATTGGACTATTAGCGAAAAATTGATTATCAAATCATTTTACCACATTTGATGCTGTAATTGATTACTAAATCATTTTACCACATCTGATGATGTAATTGATTATCAAATCATTTTACCACATCTGATGCCGTAATTGATTATCAAATCATTTTACCACATCTGATGCCGTAATTGATTATCAAATCATTTTACCACATCTGATGATGTAATTGATTATCAAATCATTTTACCACATCTGATGCCGTAATTGATTATCAAATCATTTTACCACATCTGATGCCGTAATTGATTATCAAATCATTTTACCACATCTGATGCCGTAATTGATTATCAAATCATTTTACCACATCTGATGCCGTAATTGATTATCAAATCATTTTACCACATCTGATGCCGATGCCGTAATTGATTATCAAATCATTTTACCACATCTGATGCCGTAATTGATTATCAAATCATTTTACCACATCTGATGATGTAATTGATTATCAAATCATTTTACCACATCTGATGCCGTAATTGATTATCAAATCATTTTACCACATCTGATGCCGTAATTGATTATCAAATCATTTTACCACATCTGATGATGTAATTGATTATCAAATCATTTTACCACATCTGATGCTGTAATTGATTGTCATTTTTCATAACGGATCATTGGTGTTTCTTGTGTTTTGACGAAAACTTTTTGATGTGCAAAAGAAAAGTGCCAGATGCCAATAATATCTATTCTCATGCAAATTCTTGGTAAGTGATGATGAGGTCTTTTTATGGCAAGGACACAGTTAGCTAATTAAGCAAATGATACACTAATTCAAAAAGCCTACACGAATTAAACTGATAGCGCATTTTTCTTCTGTATACATTACATTCATCATGAGTCAAAAAAATATTTACCAAAGGCAAACATTTTAACTAAGTAAAACAAATCCATCTATAATCTACTTCATATGTACGCTGACCATGTAAGCAATCCAAACATCCAATTCAACAATCCAGTCTGGTTTTGAGACGTATCTATCAGAGACGCTTTTGAATATATAATCGGGACCAGGTTAATTAATTCGGTTAAAGTTTTGGCCAAGAACTCTGATAAAGATCCAAGGCATTTGGTTTGACGCTACCTATCTGTGGCAGTTTGTGTTTCTCAGGAAGGTAAGAAGTGGCCCAGACTGTGCAGGCGAGATTATGTCCTTGGGCAAAACGCTTTACCCTAGTTGTTCTGTACCTTATGTGACGGGCCTCCTATATGTTGTTCAGTAAGGTAGCCAACAGCTACTACATAGAGACCCAGGCTCCAAATTACCCAGCTGTTAACAGGGATATCAACTCAACAAAAAGACAAACAAATACAACCAAAGAAAACTTAATCAATCATACCTGTTACCTTCCTTTTCAATATTTTCAAGAGTTGCTTCCCTTTATGATCGTAAAAAAGTAAATTATACAAATTACATATAAATAGGCTGGGCACTTTTGAGACAGCAATCACCAACTTGGATGTAAAATAATATGTCACCTTTCAGTAAGATTTTTTCCTTTTTATTTCCCCCTGAAGTAAAATATTACATGTACCTAATATATCATAGACTTAGATATCTAAGTCCCTGTTTATATTAATAACAGTAAAACTCTCTGCTAAACTCATGCTTTTCACAATCAAAATTTCACACATGTAATTTGTGCTATTTCTTTTCTAAACAGATATGCTAGATAAAAGAATTCCATGCAATTGGTGTATGAGAGCTATTTCCTCTGATGATGTGAAAAAAAATCATCACAAATTTCACATGCAGTATGACTTAGCTTTCTCTTTCCAATTCCATGTAATATTGATTGATAAATATATTAACTTTTTACTACAGAATCATATATTTTAATCATAAATTAATTATCTTGTTGATATATGTAACTGAGTTAATATACTATGACTTGTGGAATCAGAGTACCTTCTGAATTGATGACAATAATTCCAAGAAAATACATGATTTTACATAATTTCAATACAATTCTTTTCAAATATTCAATTCATTTTCTCTTTCATTTGAGGCATTTCAGTAGCTTGTACTTCCCTAAAACTCAACCACACCTGCCTGCTAATCAAAATCAAACCTTTTCATATCTTTTCAAACAATTCAATTGATATTTTTTTGCTTTGATTCAGAATCTCCACTAAAAATACTGATGTACTGTAAATAGTGTTGTATATATAGGTTGTATGACTGGTACAAGATACTATAATTGTATGGTCTAAGGGAGATAATCTTGCTCCAAATGTACATGAGTTACTCCCCTTCACTGCAATTGGATTCCTACTGAAATTACTGGGTTCATACAGATACCGCTCCTTTATGTTGTAAAAAGCAAGTTTACCCAATCTCTCCATCACTACAAAAAACTTTATTTTTCTGACATCAATTCTTTTCTCTGCTATATGAAGCTTATAATCCTAAATAAGTTTACTCTTAATAATAATCAAGTGTTCCCAAAGAACTGATTTTCAACACTTGACCTCACAATTTCAGCTCTACTTTTGATCACTTATTTAGTAAATTCATCTTTTTTTTTTCAATTCTAGCAGATATATAATAATTGACAATAATACACTTTTTAACAGCAACTGAATCAATGGATTAAATTTTAACTTTTTCAGCTATATTTACATGTTACAGAAAACCACAAATTTGCATGTATTATAAATTAATGTGATTTTTGATAATACATTATCAAAAATCACATCAGTTCATGACAAGTTCTGCTTTTTTTTTTTTTTTTTATTATTAAAACCTGTTTACTACAAGTGCTGACTAATTACGGTCCCCACCATAGCAACTGTACAATCATTAAATAGTTCATATAGGTTGATAAGGTGGGAAGGTCTGCATCTTTTTTTGGTAATTTCCAAACAAACATTTTATTTCTGCAGTTGTATGATGTTTTATGAATGAAGAAATTTCATGGATAATAATTTTGAAAAAGATAAGTTTAAAGAAATTTCAGCTTTTTTCAGTAACAAATACATACCCCAATTACATGCAAATTTTGGGATTTCTAAACTTGATTTATTGGTGGGGGCAATCGCAAACAACCAATATTTTATTAAGCATGGCCTTTGATGACAATGATAAACAATCAGTGAGTACTTACATGCAATCTATTGAGGAATACAAAACAAAGGCTGGCCACTCTAAATGTGGGTTTGTTTGCTTGGTCATGGACATGCTGGGTACTAGCAGTTCGGAAATGTGACTCAAATGCCTGCCAAACAAAATTAACTAATTCAGGACTAGTTCTTTGGAATGTTTTAGCTTTGTCTCTTACATCCATGGTGATTTTTGCAAATTGTTTATTTCCATAAAATGAACTCTGTGGATATGTTAAACAAAAAAGAAAACAAATATTTTATAAAATCACATTATTTTTGCTCCTTTGACAAAAGAAATCTAATGTAGAAAATGGTATCAAGTTCTTTAAACACACGCTACCTTTAAACACACTCTACCTTTAAACACACGCTACCTTTAAACACAATCTATCCTTAAACACACGCTACCCTTAAACACACGCTACCTTTAAACACACGCTACCTTTAAACACAATCTATCCTTAAACACACGCTACCTTTAAACACAATCTATCCTTAAACACACGCTACCTTTAAACAAAATCTATCCTTAAACACACACTGCCTTTAAACAAAATCTATCCATAACACACGCTACCTTTAAACACAATCTATCCTTAAACACGCGCTACCTTTAAACACATGCTACCTTTAAACACACTTTACCTTTAAACACACGCTACCTTTAAACACAATCTATCCTTAAACACACGCTACCTTTAAACACACTCTACCTTTAAACACACGCTACCTTTAAACACACTCTACCTTTAAACACACGCTACCTTTAAACACAATCTATCCTTAAACACACGCTACCTTTAAACACACGCTACCTTTAAACACAATCTATCCTTAAACACACGCTACCTTTAAACACAATCTATCCTTAAACACACGCTACCTTTAAACAAAATCTATCCTTAAACACACACTGCCTTTAAACAAAATCTATCCATAACACACGCTACCTTTAAACACAATCTATCCTTAAACACGCGCTACCTTTAAACACATGCTACCTTTAAACACACTTTACCTTTAAACACACGCTACCTTTAAACACAATCTATCCTTAAACACACGCTACCTTTAAACACACTCTACCTTTAAACACACGCTACCTTTAAACACAATCTATCCTTAAACACACGCTACCCTTAAACACATGCTACCTTTAAACACAATCTATCCTTAAACACATGCTACCTTTAAACACAATCTATCCTTAAACACACGCTACCCTTAAACACACGCTACCTTTAAACACACGCTACCTTTAAACACAATCCTTAAACACACGCTACCTTTAAACACAATCTATCCTTAAACACACACTGCCTTTAAACAAAATCTATCCATAACACACGATACCTTTAAACACACGCTACCTTTAAACACAATCTATCCTTAAACACACGCTACCTTTAAACACAATCTATCCTTAAACACACGCTACCCTTAAACACACGCTACCTTTAAACACACGCTACCTTTAAACACAATCTATCCTTAAACACACGCTACCCTTAAACACACGCTACCTTTAAACACACGCTACCTTTAAACACACGCTACCTTTAAACGCACTCTACCTTTAAACACACGCTACCTTTAAACGCACTCTACCTTTAAACACACTCTACCTTTAAACACAATCTATCCTTAAACTCACGCTACCTTTAAACACAATCTATCTTTAAACACATGCTACCTTTAAACAAAATCTATCCATAACACACGCTACCTTTAAACACAATCTATCCTTAAACACGCGCTACCTTTAAACACATGCTACCTTTAAACACACTCTACCTTTAAACACACGCTACCTTTAAAAACAATCTATCCTTAAACACATGCTACCTTTAAACACAATCTATCCTTAAACACACGCTACATTTAAACACACTCTACCTTTAAACACACTCTACCTTTAAAAACAATCTATCCTTAAACACACACTACCTTTAAACACACGCTACCTTTAAACACACTCTACCTTTACCTTTAAACACACTCTACCTTTAAACACACGCTACCTTTAAACGCACTCTACCTTTAAACACACTCTACCTTTAAACACAATCTATCCTTAAACACACACTACCTTTAAACACACGCTACCTTTACACACACTCTACCTTTACCTTTAAACACACTCTACCTTTAAACACATGCTACTTTTAAACGCACTCTACCTTTAAACACACACACTACCTTTAAACACACTCCACCTTTAAACATACACTACCTTTAAACACACTCTACCTTTAAACACACACTACCTTTAAACACACTCTACCTTTACCTTTAAACACACTCTACCTTTAAACACACGCTACCTTTAAACGCACTCTACCTTTAAACACACTCTACCTTTAAACACAATCTATCCTTAAACACACACTACCTTTAAACACACGCTACCTTTACACACACTCTACCTTTACCTTTAAACACACTCTACCTTTAAACACATGCTACTTTTAAACGCACTCTACCTTTAAACACACTCTACCTTTAAACACACTCTACCTTTAAACACACACTACCTTTAAACACACTCCACCTTTAAACATACACTACCTTTAAACACACTCTACCTTTAAACACACACTACCTTTAAACACACTCTACCTTTAAACACACACTACCTTTAAACACACTCTACCTTTAAACACACACTACCTTTTAACACACTCTACCTTTAAACACACTGTATCCTTAGTTTCATATTTTAACCTTTCATAAGCCAACAAATTCATTTTACTGATTTTAACCCATTTATCAAACAATTTTTAATAGCTCATTTGCATGAGGAATAGAATCAATATATTAAAAATAAATAGCACTCCGTAAAACCTATAACTGGTGAATGATCTCCATGCTAGAGAGACAACCACCAAGACAAAGTTGTCCCTGCAAGTCTTCGGATGGGCCATACATACCTTACACGTTCGTATATGTTGAAAGGGGAAGATAACCCTCGAAGCACAGGATGTGATGGGCTATTCACCATTAAACACTTCTATTAGAGTCAAATGACCTTTTGTCTACTTGACAATTTTTTTATCAGACTATAACTTACAATTTTAATCTTTTGTGATAATATAACCATTTAAAATTTCTAGCATTTGTCTTTTACCTTTTAGTTTGTTTGATGTTATTTCCGTTTTGGATCACTGTGTGTTTTACTGTTTGATGGCCCTAATGACCTTTTATGTGTTGAGGGGCTGTTAAGAATGTCATAATAATAATAATAATAATTCATAACCCAGCATAATTTCACACTCCTAAAGCTTACAGAGGAAAAATCATCTGGAAATGATCAATTCTATAAAGCTACATGTAATATAGATGCTACCTCAAAATCATTCTTCTCAGTTATTTTTTTTAGTTGATGAAAAATGTGGCTCTGTTATCAGAACATTGCAAACCAATATATCAAGAATACTTGTATTATGAGCCAGTGATTGTGATAAATAAATTCATCAACATGTTGCAGCTTTATCATAAATTTAGCCATTTCATAACCTATGAATGACATTAAAAATTTTGTAGCAGAAATAGTGGTTAGTAGGTAGTGTAATGAAGACAGGTTTGCAGGTTAAATCAATTCTGCAGGATAATGACTAATTCATGCGAAACTTTTCTTGTTCCTTCACTGATAATTGTTTGTGCAATAATTCAAACAAGCAATCGTGGTGCTATAAATAAATTTTCTTACATGAAGTCTTCTGAGAAACAGGAAACAAAGGGAAGCAACTCTGAAGTTACTTTTCTTCACTGGTTCTCTTCTCTCATGAAATGTCTTCACATTTTGTCTAGAATTCTACAGCAAACCAAAACAAAAAACACTTAATTTGTAAAGGTCACTGCAGAATGAAATCTTTTCATTTCAATTTAAGCATTACTTACCTAAAATACAAGTTGTACAAGCATTTCTTCTTGAAACCATAAAAAAATACATTTCATTTAAAATCAAAATGATGAAAATTTCACAATGGCTGACTAGTAGTTAAAATCAATATCAAGTGTACATACAGTCAAGTGAATTTGAAGTTTTCTATATGTTTTCAGTTCTATTGATGATTGATGTACATAGATGTGGCATCAATCACATGAACTTGGACAAATCTTTCATCTTCAGATTATCATCCTTATATATGCAATAGTTAGATTATGTAGTAGGTTCTTGAATCTTTGTAGGATATTCAGCAAAAACAACCTGTAGTCCTGAGAGCATTTACAACAATTAAGTCAGAATTTGTAGAAGAGAAAACTATATGAAAAATATGCTATATTACTTTTTAAATAAAAACTACATGAATTGGATCCTTCAGTAAGTTTGGCAATATCATCACAAGTAATTTTTCCATTATAGATAAGCACCTACCTGCAATCTTTGTAGAAAAATACAACATAAACTGATTTTACGGAACACATGTCTCATGCGATGATCTTCACTTGCTAAACCCATGCTATGTCGGATTTATATCTGAAACAAAATTTGAAAAATAAAAATCATCAGATTTATATCTGACACAAAATTTTAAAAAAAAAATCATCAGATTTATATCTGACACAAAATTAAAAAAAAAATCATCAGATTTATATCTGACACAAAATTAGAAAAAAAAATCATCAGACTTATATCTGACACAAAATTCATCAGATTTATATCTGACACAAAATTAGAAAAAAAAATCATCAGACTTATATCTGACACAAAATAAGAAAAAAAAAATCATCAGATTTATATCTGACACAAAATTAGAAAAAAAAATCATCAGATTTATATCTGACACAAAATTTTAGAAAAAAAAATCATCAGATTTATATCTGACACAAAATTTAAAAAAAAAAATCATCAGATTTATATCTGACACAAAATTTAAAAATAAATCATCAGATTTATATCTGACACAAAATTAAAAAAAAAATCATCAGACTTATATCTGACACAAAATTTAAAAAAAAAAAATCATCAGATTTATATCTGACACAAAATTTAAAAATAAATCATCAGATTTATATCTGACACAAAATTAGAAAAAAAAATCATCAGATTTATATCTGACACAAAATTAGAAAAAAAAATCATCAGATTTATATCTGACACAAAATTAGAAAAAAAAATCATCAGATTTATATCTGACACAAAATTTAAAAAAAAAATCATCAGTCTTATATCTGACACAAAATTAGAAAAAAAAAATCATCAGATTTATATCTGACACAAAATTAAAAAAAAATCATCAGATTTATATCTGACACAAAATTTTAAAAAAAAATCATCAGATTTATATCTGACACAAAATTAGAAAAAAAATCATCAGATTTATATCTGACACAAAATTTAAAAAAAAATCATCAGATTTATATCTGACACAAAATTAGAAAAAAAATCATCAGATTTATATCTGACACAAAATTTTAAAAAAAAATCATCAGATTTATATCTGACACAAAATTAGAAAAAAAAAATCATCAGATTTATATCTGACACAAAATTAGAAAAAAAAATCATCAGACTTATATCTGACACAAAATTAGAAAAAAAATCATCAGATTTATATCTGACACAAAATTTAAAAAAAAAATATCTGATTTTAAAAAAAAATCATCAGATTTATATCTGACACAAAATTTAAAAACAAATCATCAGATTTATATCTGACACAAAATCATCAGACTTATATCTGACACAAAATTAGAAAAAAAAATCAGACTCATCAGACACAAAATTAGAAAAAAAAAATCATCAGATTTATATCTGACACAAAATTAGAAAAAAAAAATCATCAGATTTATATCTGACACAAAATTAAAAAAAAAATCATCAGAAAAAAAAATCATTATATCTGACACAAAATTAGAAAAAAAAATCATCAGATTTATATCTGACACAAAATTAGAAAAAAAAATCATCAGAATAAAAAAATTAGAATCAGATTTATATCTGACACAAAATTAGAAAAAAAAATCATCAGATTTATATCTGACACAAAATTAGAAAAAAAATCATCAGATTTATATCTGACACAAAATTAGAAAAAAAATCATCAGATTTATATCTGACACAAAATTAGAAAAAAAAATCATCAGATTTATATCTGACACAAAATTAGAAAAAAAATCATCAGACTTATATCTGACACAAAATTAGAAAAAAAATCATCAGATTTATATCTGACACAAAATTAGAAAAAAAATCATCAGATTTATATCTGACACAAAATTTGGGGAAATAAATCATAAGTGTACACTATTAAGACAGAGAATATTTCTTTACTTTCAAATTTTCAAAATCAACAACAAAATTTAATAATTCATTAAAAGTAGAACTACACTTTATTTTTTCCCCATCATGTTAAGTTCACAAAATCTAGAAGCTTACATAGGGACCGGTTCACAAAATCTAGAAAGCTTACATAGGCACCGGTTCACAAAATCTAGAAAGCTTACATAGGGACCAAGTTTTTTTTTTTTTGACTATGCAAACTTATATAATAATGTATTCTGATCATAAAACTCTCTAGTCTTGTGTACTGTCTATACATTACATACAATTGGTGTTTAAAAGTATCTCTTTTCAGTTTTATCAAAATATATTGAAATCTCTCACACACTTTGACTGGACTTATTCACCAATTTTCATGAATGTGTTGACAGAGTTCTGAAGTTTACTTTCAAATTTGAAGTTTGCAAATTTACTTTTTTAAGTATTCACCAATGGAGAGATATTTATTCATTTAACTATTTTTCTTGATTATTAGTATCATAGACTGAAATCTTAAACCTGTAAGTCCAAGTTAAACACTCACCTGACCATTGCCAGAATTATTGTCAATGACTTAAATTAGAGTTGTGTAATCTTATGAGAGACTTGTCTCGAATATTTCAAGCTATATCACACATAGCTGTTTGTTACTTTTTGCCATAGGTGTAAAGGCAAATACAGACAGAAATCACAACCTATGATCAGACAACCAATTAAGATATCAAATATTCACTAAGTTGTGAAGGTTTTGTGATATTTGGACCTCTTCTTCATAAAATTCACAAAAGACTAGTTACTAAATCAATAATGTGGTAGACATGATTGGCTGGAAAAATCCCAGTTCAGCATACATTTAATTTCCAATGAGAGAAATTGTGGATGAAAATCTTGGTTAGTACTGTATTTTGTAAAATATTTCAAATCCACTTTTGATGAAATACTTTTCTTTTAGGTAAGATACTTTATTATGATTGTTTCAGAATATCAAAAGTTGAAGAACATTTGAGTTTTCAGGAACTGCTGTTTATTTTGACACATGTCGCATACAGCAGGGTTGGCTGCACACTGTATAAAGCTAACTAGTCATCAGATTAACACAGTCTTGTTTGAGACATTTTTCTTATGAGAGTTAGAAAAGTACCTAAATCCCATAATATAGATGTCAACCTCTGAAACCTCAAATCAAGAGACCTTCCTGATTTCACATCTCAAATCAGGGGGAATGTGCATAACAATTTTCACGGCCTTTTTCTCTCCATGGGAAAAAAATGTTGTCCAGGTTGGTGATTTGAAAATAAATAAAAGCAATGATTTAGCTTGGTCTTTGATACAATATACATATAACTATATGTTTCTGCATTGTACAATGTTTTTTTCAGTACATGATATTGAACATATTGTATTATTTCCAAGTTCTAAACAAAACTGAGTGTGTACTTTTTAAACATGGAAATCAATTCTCAGGGCCTGCGTTTCTGATGGGCAGCACACACCACACCATAGCAAGCTTGCTCAAATTTGGAAAGAGACAGTTTCACCCAAATGGTTCCATAACATCTTCCATATTTCCCCAAAACATAAAAAAAATCTGTCCCAGCTGCGTAATGAAGGAGCCCATCTGGTGAACAGAGCTATTAATGTTATACCCTGAATTCCTCTAAGAGCATCTTTGCAATTTTCTCTGACTATATCAAAAGTTAAACCGCATTCTTTGTGTCGCCAGCAGGTCCCCAAAGTGGCAGAGACAAACTAACACTGAACAAGATGCAGAGGGCATAAACTCACAAAGCTTTATTTGAGAAATATAAGAAATAGTCACATTTGAAGAAACATAAAATTTCCATTAGGATATATGTAAACAGTATCCTTTGTCAAATATCTACTAGATATATTCTGAAGTTATATTATTCTATCATGTAAACATTTGACACTGATTTTCATTACAGTCAAGCTCTTTGTCTGTTTTATTACCAAGTGTGATGACTATCAGTTGTTATCAATATATGTGAATGACTTGACTGAGGCTTGTTTAACTTACACATATCAACATTGCATCGGTGTTACACACATCACGACTCAGACACAAATGGTCACACTCCAGGGTATTTATATATATTATCATTTTACTTAAATCAGCCGACTGAAATCCTGGGTAAATCTGACCAGGATATATAACAAATCAGGAAAAATGACTGATGTTGGCGATTTCCCAGAGAATCTGAGATGATTGACACCTTTGTTATAAGTTGATTTGTGGAATGGGACCTGAAAAAACATAATGTTCGAGCACTGGCCAGGTTAGTCTAGATGGGGAAAGTTGTTTTGGTACTTGATGCAGCCACATGTAAATAAAAGATAAGCAATAAGTACAGACTTTGAAAATATCAAACACTATGTTAGTATTGATATTTCCAAGTGGAAACTTAGGTAAAATATGATGGACATTGGTTTATTCATAATACCTGTTTAAAACAATGTCCATTTACTATTATTTTGTATGAAAAATGTGAAAGAGTGGTAATAATACAGACCAATGATTTTCACTGTACCATTGCATGTCATGAGCGGATGGAGTAGTTATATTGCTCTGATCGTGTTTCTTGGCATTGGGTATTATCAGGGACGTACAATGTTATATATGTTATATATGTCCCTGGAATTATTATACAAAATTATACTAAAATCAAGAATCCGGAAAATTCTTTATTTCATTTGCAAGGAAACGTCTGCCGTGACAAGTAGTATATTATAACTACAATAGATATATGCATGCATGTTAAATAATCTTTGGGAATCAAATGGCAAAGTTATAAGAATCCCTCGTTCCTAAGCAAACTTGTCCAACTATAGACAGGAAGTTGTCAAAAACTGAAAACAAATCATTTTGACAGATTTTTGTAATCGTTGCCATAGATATTGTAACAATTGAACACTCACAACATCAACGATAACTTACCTTATACTCCGAATTATCCTATGACAATCCTTGAATATAACTATATAATCACTACAACCCGATATAGCAAAGACTATCTAATCGAAAATTCTTCAAAACAAACCTCTACGATATATTTGGCTAACTAAATCCGGGTATTTTCCCAAAGGACATCGTGATCACAAGAATGTTTTGACAGCGATATCTAAACTACAAAAATATAAAAGGACATATTTTCCGCAAATCACTGTAATAAAAACTTAAATTTTAAAGATAATAACGCCATTATTGACGAGCAATTTGCAATATATTTATCATGATTTTTTATTTGATTAATTGTGTATCAAAATTAAAATACTCTTAATCGTTATTTACACAAAAAATATTAATGCACGAACGGTGCGCAACGATCATCGAAGTGGCCATGGAGTACCTGTTGGAATATATTATCACATAGAAATAAGGGCTGTCATCTAAATAAATGAATATATATATATTAATCTTTACTTAGCCCGATAAAGATGTTTATATCAAACCGGGGATAAGGCTAGTGCCCGTGTACAGAACAAAGGGGCATAACTCGAACAATCCTGATAGATTTTGTCGTAGGAAGCCTGGCCAAACGTCTGACGGAATGAAACAACTAGCTCAGTTTAGTTAAACACAAAATAGAGATATAATTTAGCCGAGTACAGCATAGTCCACGAGCAGTTTAGATTAAAATCAGTCCAGCAATGCTTATTTTTTAAAATACTCTATTGTGACAAAAGAAATATGGAAATAAATCAAAATTGTCAAAAAATTACTATTTTTAAGTATATAAACAAATTTAGCTCTTATCGCCTTTTATCGTTAACTGGCCAACAAAACTATCAAATACTGAGACGTTTTTCGAAGGAGCGTCTTCAAGATTTTTTTTTTTCTTTTAATGAAAATTTACAATAAGTCAAAATTAACTAAACTGCAACATGCAACTGTCTCGTTAGCTAGGAGGCGACTGATGAAAATGTACCATCGAAAGAAACGTCAAAATATAAGTGGCTCAGGAGAGGGTGGGCGAGGGGTAGTTAGAGGGCGAGGCGGGGATAGGTGGTGGTGGTGGGGGCTAACCATACATTTGTAGTTCAATATATTTTGTGAGTATAGCTATTGATTTCAGTAGAGTGGCATGTACATGTGTATTCTGATATATCAGTACATGCTGTTTTATTTGTTACCACCAAACCATTTATATTTTAATGTGTAGTTTACAGGAACTTGCTGTCACTTATTGCCAAATCGAATTCTCCGAATCTCTAAACCCCGACAACTTGATATATAAAGAATATAGAAAGATGATAAGAATGTAAAGAAATATAAACACAAATAGGTATTTATCTCAGCTAGTTTTGAATTATTTTGTTTTGAAGAAATATATTATGAAGATTATGTGAGTAGGTATTTAACGGGTGAACTCAGTGACATTATAATGTTATGAAGCTGTGAGTTATTTACATGTTGATATGAAATGCTTGGTGATCAACACATTGCAACGATTTATCGGGTTATGAGTCTGATATTTACGTAAACAGTAATAAGTGTATCAGTGTAAACACTGGGATGGATAGCTTGTAGGCTAGTGTCACGTTCCTATAGCAAACATCTATAAGTCTGTGTAAGGACCCCGCTATCCTCTCTAGTAGTGCTTTATCTATCCATTCATGTGTGTAACCGATATGAAATTATTCGGACCTGCAATATATGTGTTGTTTACAGGTGTCAAACACAATTTTTTATCCCGCTGAAATACAAATTGGTATATATTTCATAAATGAAACTAACACTCTTCTCTCCCCTATATCAAAAATGGACAATGACATAAAGCGCCACAAACACCCATCTTTACTCTATATTAAAAGATGAACTATGATCTCGTGTGTCACAAACACCCTTCTCGTCCCCAACCAAAATATGGATTATGACTGCATGTGTCATAACACCTTTCCCTCCCCTATATCAAAAGATGGACTGAGACTTCATGCGTCACAAACACCCCTCTCTCCCCTATCTTAAGATATGGAATTTGACTTTATACATGATATAACACCTAAACATCCCAACGTCTGCTTCTTTCCCCTTTTTTGAAAAATGGTCATGCACCTTCCCGTGCCAAAAGCAACATTCTCTTTTCCGAGACTGTAAGTATAAGATAATATGTCATATATGTTATGATTTAACGGTGTCATAACACACTTCACTGTCATATCCTCAGAGATAGTCTAGGTTGTCTTGTGTGTTACAATGACGCTTTCATGACATAAAGATAGGAAAGTGTTTAATCATACTGACGTCATCAAATTGTCTACCCTGTCCCATAGACTGACCGTCATCACGTGCGATGTCAACGAAACAGAACGATTACCCTCGATTTGATTCTTCTTGTTCATTAACTCAAATTTGCCTCCGTCTGATCGTTTGGAGGAAAACAATCAAATTTTTTTCTACAAATCGGGAATAAGTCCGGGTGTCCGACTGTAAAAATGAAAACGGTGCAAAAGGGGAATCGAAACCAGATTGATTCGATGAGAGGCAATTGTGATCACTGTCGAGCTCGTTCTTACCACCTTAAAGTTTATAGTTATCTCCCCTGATGATTAACGGACTGGGACTGAGGTGGCTGGGACATGTAGTCAGCAGTGTATCAACACAAAGGGATAGTTTAAGTGTGTCTGTGGGGGAGGTTACTAGTTCATTGATTCTAGAGGAATGTTGATTGATAAAGATGAGGATATTGTGTGAAATATTTCATAAATTATATAATTTCTTCAATTTTGGTGGTAAGATTTCCCAGCAGGCAGTTGGCATATATATTGGAAGTTAAGAAAGATAATCGTATTAATAAAACATCGCTTTAAATGTATTCTCCTTGTACTTTTCTCACGAGTCTACTGAAAACCTTTCTTTTGTTTAAATTTTCCTCTAGTGTTAATGAGGTTGAGTTTGGATTTTGATTATGTCGACATGTTGATATTTTCTTTGTTGTTTTTGACATGACATTTATGGATCCTGTGAATGACACATATTTGCATGCCTTGTTTACAAGTTTGCTTGTAAACTTGTTATTCGGGTCGACCATAAAAGACACACGTAAACAGTCCGCAGGCGATTCTCATTCAGATTTTACATTAACAAAAACCAGTGATGATTATTGAAAATCTCACAAAACTTACTCTGATTTTTACGAATGTGGATGAAATTTTGCAGCGGATAACCAGGTTTTAAGAATGCACAAATTCTGGACTCCCTCAGTGATGTCATATTATCCAGAACTCATATGTATGATAATGACACAGTTTTAAACATTTCAGATTTGAATGATTTTTTTTTCTGTGCATAAATATTTATCTTAATCAACAAAATCTAAAACAATATATATAATATTCAATATGTTAAAATTTCGGGAGAATTAAATAAAGCACGTGGATTGTACTGCATTAGAATATCTGGTAGGACCATATGAACATTTGTTTACATTACTTATATCGTATATATATGACCAGTTACAGTAAACAATTATTTGGTAGGAGATCTCTGGTTAAGAATATCATGTTCTCTTATAAATCACATATAACTCAGAGCTACACTCTTTAAACCAAACATACTAATTGTTTGTATGATAAAATACAGTTTTAAATACAAACACTTTATCAATTGGATATAATAATATATGAAATGGTATTGATTCCCCCTTCACACCGGAAATGTCGAGACGACATTGGCGGAACACTTTTGATAAACAGTGCATTGGATATTTATATCTTGATAGACATTTTATTTAACTGTGATTAAATAAGATCTCTTATCATCAATGATGAATTTTCAGACAGTGTTGAAAATTTGTTATAATAAAATAGACGCGGTGGTTCGGCGGTTGTTTACCCTGTTCTCATTTGGAAACGTGACATTACGTAAATAGACCAAGATTTACACGGCGGGTGAAGCAGAAAACATTTACTCTTCCGGAACACCTGGCCTTTATCTTCTTGTACTTTTTCAGGGTTCTCCGTAAAAACCTTTCTTTTGTTCATAATTTGCTACTGTTTCGTGAAATCTGAGATTGAAGTAAGATTGACATGCCTGTATTCTCTTTGTTGCTTCCGAATGTTTCTTCTCTTCAAAACACTTTAGAATATATGAATATGTATTATCATATCTGATTAATATTTATATATTACGGAGTACCGAATATATATTTAAAAAAAATAGAATAAAAACCATCATAAGTTTGAAACCGATAACTGTTTTTAATGAAAGTGTGAACGGGTTGGAAATATTCGCATTTTGCTCATCCGGCATGTTTCGAGGATGGCAGAGAAGGACATTAATTGTGATGTTACAATAACGAGAGACAGAGAAAGACACTAATTGTGATGTTACAATAACGAGAGACGGAGAAGGACAATAATTGTGATGTTACAATAACGAGAGACAGAAGGACACTAATTGTGATGTTACAGTAACGAGAGACAGAGAAGGACACTAATTGTGATGTTACAATAACGAGAGACAGAGAAGGACATTAATTGTGATGTTAAAATAACGAGAGACAGAAGGCCATTAATTGTGATGTTACAATAACGAGAGACAGAGAAGGACATTAATTGTGATGTTACAATAACGAGAGACAGAGAAGGACACTAATTGTGATGTTACAATAACGAGAGACAGAGAAGGACATTAATTGTGATGTTACAATAACGAGAGACAGAGAAGGACACTAATTGTGATGTTACAATAACGAGAGACAGAGAAGGACATTAATTGTGATGTTACAATAACGAGAGACAGAGAAGGACATTAATTGTGATGTTACAATAACGAGAGACAGAGAAGGACATTAATTGTGATGTTACAATAACGAGAGACAGAGAAGGACACTAATTGTGATGTTACAATAACGAGAGACAGAGAAGGACATTAATTGTGATGTTACAATAACGAGAGACAGAGAAGGACATTAATTGTGATGTTACAATAACGAGAGACAGAGAAGGACATTAATTGTGATGTTACAATAACGAGAGACAGAGAAGGAC